CTCTCTCTCTCTCTCTCTCTCCCTCTCTTCTCTTTCGTTGTTGTTACGTTTCAAGAAACACGCTGTCAAACAACAAAATGTCCCCTCAAGTTGTAATTTTGCTTTCTTTGTTTTAATGGCTTTGGTTTTGTTTTTTTCTTCCTGCGAGGCAATAAGTGTCAACTGCTGTGTCAGTAGGTACAATGTCAAGTGAAATGAACGGTCTCTCTCCTTTTCTTTTCATTAGCCACTGTCAACGGATAGTTAATGAATAACAAGAAAATAATAATAATGATAGATAACATTTGTATAGCGCAAGTCCCGCTGAACAGCAAGCTCTATGCGCTTCACAATCTATACTATTACCCCAGTTGACCTGAGAGCATTCTGAAACAACCTCAATTACCCAGGAAGCATACAATGCAAGCAGCCATTTTATAGACACTAAAACACTGACATATTAACAAGATCTTACGCTGTCTAAAACAACAAGATATATCTTTAACTTTAATTGTTTTTTAAAATTGTCTTGGGTATAGTGAAATCATGAACTTCATGTCCCGTCACATGTTGCAAAAGAGAAAAGACATACGACCGAGGGCAAACAGTATACTATTACTAGTATCATCTTTACTACAATTCGACTTTTGATTTTACAATGATAGGACACGCCAAACAGTATCGACAAGAGCAACATTTATCTGTTATCACTCGACAATCCACTTCTTTCTAATGTTCCCGGTATGCGTAGAAAAACAAGTACAAAAAATAAAGATAAATGTTTTAAATCCGCATTAAATTGCCGAATAATAAGTGTTTATTATTTTCGTTTTGATAACATGTTGGTAGAGCGTAACGTTGCGTGTGATCTAATGGCAATTGTTACGGGAAGAAATCATCCTGTAATAATGCTGGGGAAGGTACAAAGGTACAGATAAACATTCAGTTGAACGGCGCGGAAACAATGAAGCAATTAAATGTCACATGTATTTTCTCAAAAATGTAACTGCATTTTTCTACAGTTGTTGTCTTTTTATATTGAGCTGATCTATTGCATCTGAGCACGAGCAGTTTTAAAAGCAGGTGTGTTCAGTCCCTTTGGTTCAGTCACTTTGTTTCAGTCACTTTGGTTCAGTCACTTTGGTTCAGTCACTTTGTTTCAGTCACTTTGGTTCAGTCACTTTGTTTCAGTCACTTTGTTTCAGTCACTTTGGTTCAGTCACTTTGTTTCAGTCCCTTTGGTTCAGTCACTTTGTTTCAGTCCCTTTGGTTCAGTCACTTTGGTTCAGTCACTTTGGTTCAGTCACTTTGGTTCAGTCACGTTCGTTCAAACAGCAAATTTGACGGGCCAGAACAATGAACTTGAGTCAGCTGGAGTATAATGGCGGGTCCCTGACTGCCCTAAACAGAGGAGATGAAGAAACAGCTGTGTATAACGTGGACACCACAAAGATGATAGAACTGGCCGCGGACATAGCGTTCCCGCTGTGCGCTCTGATCGGTGTGTGCACCAATCTCGTCAACCTCACCATCTTCGCCAAACTTGGCCTGAGAGACACTGTGACCGTCTCCTTCTTCTCTCTATCTCTCTCCGATTTCTGCTTTCTTTTTGTCGTCCTAGCCAACGCCGTCAACACCCATCTTTTCAGCAGAATAACAGGACAGTATGTGAATAAATTCCACCTGATGTACATGGGCATCTACGTGTATACAATGTTCTACGACATCTCTGTGCTAACCACGACCTACATCGCTGTTCAAAGATGCTGCCTTGTAGCGCTGCCGTTAAAGTTTCGAGGAATGTTCACGGCAAAAAGGAACAGTTTCATCCTCGTGAGCATTTACCTCGTGGCTCTCGCCTGCTACCTGCCCATGTTCTTGAAGCAGCGCCTCGCGGAGCGCACAGACCCCGCCACCAACAGGACCTACCTCGCGCTCTGGCTCGCCCCCGACAGACCCGACTTCCTGGCTGCCCACGACCTGATCAACCGCATCTCTCTGCCCATCGTCACTCAACTCGTCGTCATCGTCTGTCTCGGGCTGCTCGTTTCCAACTTGAAATCTTCTCGTCGCTTCCGGAAACGATCTTCTGCCGTGACTACCAAAGATGGCGACAATAATTCTGGGGCTTGTTCAGCGACCAGCAGCAGCAGCAGCAACAGGGAGGATCAGGTGGTTCTGGCCGTGACCTTGGTGACTGGCGTCTACGTCATCACAAACACACCCCAGATTCTGTACGCGTTCACGCGGCGTTTTGTGTCCAGCTTCAACCTGTACCAGAGACACCACAACCTGTACATGATGGTCAACTTCTGCCGGAATGTTCTCGAGTTTTTCAGCGCCTCGGTCAACATGTTCATCTACACCAGGTTCAACAAGAAGTTCAGAAACTTGCTCTTCCGCCTCCAATAGAAGACCAGACGGTTTCCTTCAGCAAAAAGTGTGGGTTGTTTTTTTAGTTGTTAGTTTTAGTGTTTTATGGCATTTGCAACACAATAAGGTCAAACAGTGTGCTTTATGCGTTTTCGTCAGAGTTTTATGACACACTAAGGTCATAAGATTAGAGGTGTTGCATGAGAGTAACAAACACAAAGAAGAAGAGATAGGGATAGATGTTTGATAGGAAAGAAGAAGCAAACCACACCAGAGCACCCACCAACCACCCGCTGTCTTTGAATTACAACATTATGCCCTGTATTAAGAAACGTAACACGGATCTATTTTTGCCTGTTTGTACAAACGGTACCTGACGTGAAGTGCCCTCTTTAGGACGTACCTTCAGGGCGGAATAAAGCACGAGGGAGGTTGGAGGGTGCTCTGGTGTGGTTTGCGCCTTCTTTCCTTTCAATCATCTATCATTCTTATCTTTCCTCCTCCTTTATTTTGTTAGGTACTCCCTTGTAACACACCTAATCCTCGGCACTTAATGACCTTATTGTTTTGCAAGTGCCGTAAAACTCTTACGAAAACGCATAAATCCCTCTGTAGGTTGGCGTTACGTTTTTTTTTCTAATTAAAAAAAAACTGTGTCAGTCTTGCTTGTCGACGTGGTTCAGTTTGCAGTGAACATGATTGGTATCATTCTGTCAGACAGATTGGTATCATTCTGTCAGACAGATTGGTATCATTCTGTCAGACAGATTGGTATCATTCTGTCAGACAGATTGGTATCATTCTGTCAGACAGACCACTGTCAACTGTTTTAAGAAATAAAGCTTAATTTTAGATGCAACATTTTGCTCTTGAGTATGTGCACCATTCTTTTTGGCCTGTAGGTATTTGAGGAATCCATTGAAAAAACGGGCATGGTCACAAACTGGAATTGTGAGGGTGTCAATTATAAAAGCTTGTGGACTCATAACTTCATATACAATTTGTTTGACTGGTGGTTTATTGTTTAGTGTTGTTGAATGAGAAACCTAACAGCAACAATCAACCAAAACTTAGAATACATAGACAGTATTTGTATAGCGCAAATCCGCGCTCAACACCAAGCTCTATGCTCTTCACAATCTATACTATTACCCCAGCAGACCTGAGAGCATTCTGAAACAACCTCAACTTCTTAGGAGTGCAGGAGCCATTTATAGGCGCTAAACAATAGCATATTAGCAAGATCTTTCGCTGTTGAAAGCACCAAGATATATCTTTAACTTGAGCAGAAATAGAGTTATGAGTCAACAAGCGTTCAAAATTGGTACCCTCACAATGTACAGTTTGTGACGACAGTCGTTTTCCCCCTGTAGTCCACATCAGCTATTTTAGAACCGAAGGGGTACTGTTGATAGCTTAATATACTTCTTTTTCTTTTTTTCACGGTTGAATTTGTTGTGTCTGTCATGATAAGTTGGCGATGCCACCAGGTAAAAATGCACTTTTGAGCGGGGATTTTTGATGCAGAATCGACATTTTCCGCCTGTTTTATGTTTGTCTCCATCTTTTGTCTCCTTTTTTCTGTCTTCTCTTTTTCTTCCGTTCTCCTTCTTCTCTCTCTCTCTCTCTCTCTCTCTCTCTCTCTCTCTCTCTCTCTCTCTCGCTCTCTCTTTCTCTCTCGCTCTCTCTCTCTCTCTGTTTTCTCTCTCTCTCTGTTTCTGTTTTCTCTCTCTCTCCCTCTCTGTTTTCTCTCTCTCTCT